TTAAAACTGCGTCCACCCTTTTGTGATATATAGGAAAACCCCCCCTTCCCCCCACAAAATCCTTTTTTTTTTTTTTTTTGCCTTTAAAAGCTAAATCTTGGAGTTTGACATTTAAATAAAAAGACTCTTGTAGCGTGAAGCACCAAAAGTGCTGCTTGTAACATAACGTCGGGCCCTTGCTTCTGCCTTGGGGCAGCTGGGGCTTCCCCACCACCACCAGGCAGAAGCGTCCCTGTCCCTGCAGTCCGGCAGAGCAAGCCCCAGGCTCATGTCACACGGCATCTATTCCCCCTTCCCACTGAGCTTGCACTCTTCTTGGGGAAACCTGGCTGAAGCTTAGATTTGCCCTGATTTTGACCAAGGTATGTGCTGATTTGGAAGCTCCTTTTCAAAATCACCTGTACAGCTCTTCCTCCACCATGCTTAATCACAAGAAAATCAGCAGAAGAAAGCACACCACTGGCAAATCACAGGGCTTCCATGAAGATTTCTGTAACATTAGAGTTCCCAGGGTCGTGATCGGGCTTGAGATACAATAACAAATACATTCTCCACAGAGTAATTAAAGTAATTCAGAGTGTAATCTACACATCTGTAGCTAGTACTTGTTATCCATGCAACTCAAAAACTGCAAAACAGAGCTCCTCCCTTCCCAAAAATCAGCATATAAGGCTGAAAAATTAAACCTCAGCATTTATCTTGGCAAGCATCCAAAGCATAACTCTGTTACGATCAGTGGATGGCTGATATCCTTGTCCCTTCAAGGTACATGGATAGGGGAACTTCACAGAATTCATACCCACCCAATTCATGACCAACCCCTACTCTTTCTCAAGATTTGACTGTCACAATGATTATCAGTCCCTTCCCAATCAGTTTAGATTCATTTTTTTTGTTTTCCACTGCAAACCTAACCCACGTTGCTGGGAAAGTAGGAAGATGGCAGAGGAGGGCACAGAGGATTACTGCAGATGAGGGCCTGAAGGTGTGTGGCAGGAGGATGAGCATGAGTATCTAAACATAAACATCTATAGAAGGACTCTCCCCATCTTGCCTTCAGTGTAATAAGGCTTTATTATTAGAAGTACAAGATGAAGTACTAGCGAATAAAACATATACAACTATCACATGAAATAGTAACTTGATAACATATAGAGTATTGTTGCTAAAATATGGGTACATTCATTTTTATTTGTCATTTAAATAACATTTTTATATTCTTAGTTCCATGCTTGTATTAAAGGAAATAAATAATAAATACGTTGCCTGAAATGAACCATGCAATATGAAACATGGAACGTTCCTGGGAGCAAGATATAGACAAATCACATAAAGCAGACAACAGTCCGAAATTTCATAGCAGTCCTTAAAGTTATCACACGTGACAGACACTTGTTGTTAAGGGGCTAAAGCGAAGAGAAAAAAAGAAATCACTGCAAATTCTCTTAAAACAGACAAAAAAAGGGAATAGCCTGTGACTACACACTTTAAACAGGCATCTAACTCTGAGGTCCTGTAATAAACCATGTTTTGGTCTTCGGTGAAGGTTGGCAGACAGGAAAGCTCACTAAAGCAAAGTCCTAGAGCTCCTCTTCAGAGTATTCACTCCAGTTCCACACTGGAAATAGATTCATCCCCTCTATATTATTAATTACAAAGAGCTTTTCCAGGCAAGTCATTCTCCTGTTTGCATTTGCATAGAACTCAGTGCTTTGTGAACACATCTACTCATTACACTTGTGGGCAAGTAACAAAGACAATTTATCTAACTCCCTAAATGAAATATATTTGCTGATCAAGGGCATTCACTTTGATCTGCTTCTGCAACACCAAACAAAAACCAGCACATAGTTACCTCCTGCAACCACCTCTTCTGGGAGCCTTCCCGTCCTTTGGCATGGGCAGCCAGGAACCGTGCTCAGGGAGGATGGACTGCTTAAAACCTGTTCTCTGCACCTACTGCTAGTCACCCAAGCAGAGCTAACATTGTAAGAGAAATACTGGGCTGCTGCTTTTTGCACGCTGAAGAAAATGGTTGTAGTGTGAATACTCTATAACACAGCACAGCTATGTGCCATTGGTGTGTAAGACAGAGCAGTTCCTAATCATCTCTCTTAGACTAAGTTCATTTGTCATCATCCAGCAATAAAACCAAACCATTTATCTGTACAACCGCTTGGCTGGCAGCTGGAATTGCCAGCATCGTATGATATCTGATAAAGAAACTAAGGTCTCGTTTCATTACCATGTACAGTAATAAGTTTATCTCCGTGCACAGTAGCAAGTTTGTCACTCTTGACAGAATATGTAGTGGAAATTATAGCAATATCTTTCCTGTGCTACTGCTAGACAAGGGCCTGTGCAAATCACAGGGTATGGTATGGCACAACTAATTTCTAATTACCAAAGTCACTATCCCAGTGAACACGATGGCTGGCCAAGCTCCAAGAGATTTCACTGGATTTCATGTCATGCTTCTATTCAGCTGTGCATTTACTGATCTAGATATGTACACACAGCAGCAGTTCTCTTTCTGGGACGTAAAATTATCAGAATATCCTTTCACTCTCAGCACACCTCTACTGCATTACAATGACAAATACCAGCTCAGTCCCAGTCCTCACTGAGCAATGAGATCCCACACGCTTGTGCTGTTTTCAGTCTTTTTCCACTACAAACCTGGAAGGAGACATGAGGTTTGCAACCTGTCACACTTTGAAGCTGCTTCAGTAAAATGTGAGGAGGGGAGAAGAGCCCTTCAGTGCAAAGAGCCTCATGCCACCAACCGCCGCTTCAAGGATATTAACTGCACAAGTAGTGCAGTTTCTTCTGAGTAGAAGAAACCTCAGCTACAGCAAGGTGCACGGCAGATTCATCTAACTTAAATCCCGGTCAACTAATTTAGTTGCCTAAGTGCAAGCATTTAGTGCCACTGACTACAGAGCATCCAAGAAATTCGTGCATACCTGGCAGACATGATGCAGGGCCTAAAGTCTTGAGAAGACCCACAACTTTGCAGAACTGCAGCTGGCAGCCAAGCAAGATACTCTAAGAAACCTCAAATAGCACTAGATGCCTCCATGTTAGCAAATTAATGGGTAATAATAATAAAAAAAAATTGTACTTCTGGGCTTACACAAACATAGGCTTCCTTTGCAGATGATTGAAACGGATAAGTTCTTCCAGATGATGATTCATCTGATCACCCCAGATGAAGATGCTTTTCACAGGATGGCTGTCTTAGGATAAGGTGAATCATTCTTGGGGGTACCTTGCCTCAGTCTTTAGATCAGATTTAGACATTTAAACAAAGACGTCTACAGGACTGCTTGCCATCAAGAATGTGCTAGTGTTGTGGTCCAGCTATTCTCAAATATGTCACATGCTTTTTCCATGTAACCTTTTTGCTATCTGCTTGCCTTTTTCTTAAACAATTCTACAGATGATACACATCAATTCCCTTCTATCTCTTCAGATCTGTGTATTTGAAATAGAAAAGCTGAGCGTAACCATCTACAAAATAATAATCACTCCACAGACTAGAATAAACTTATTGTTTAGACTTCTTTGCCAAATTTCTATTTGCCTTAGAGAAAGCCCATGCAAACAAACTAAGCTTGTCAAAACCTGAATGTTTGATGCCATAGAAAACTCCAAAATTACAATTTCCTTTCATTCTGAATTGAACCTTAATTCAGCATAAGACTTAATTTCAGTATAAATAAACTATATGCTAATAAATGCCCAGTATTCATTGCCAGACTTTTCTACTAACCATATGTTTAGCTACATTTTTTTTTTAATCAGCATTTCATACAATACAAATTTATGTCAATCAAAACATTGACATGTCAATGAGCAATATTTGGTTGAATTTTTCTGGATTTTTAGGAGTACCTTGACAAGTACGATATACAAAAAGGAAGGCATCAGGCTGTGGAGATGGCAGCAGCTGTATGACAAAGCATCTTAGAGACCTGCAAGCATTCCTAGGTGTTCAGGTGACCAGGAACGTGGACTGCAGCACTACGAGCATGACTCAGAGCCCATTGTGTGGTGTTCCTGACATGGCAAACTACCAGCTCTTTCCAGGAGACCCCAAATGGGAAAAGAATACATGAATGCACAGATGATGAGTTGTGGGTTTTCTGGCTTTGGAAATGAGTAGCCATCACTTGGATGATTTAAAAGGACATTTTTAACATTTTTTAATTTTTATCAATGTTGTCTCCTATTTGTATTTCAAATCTTTTATCTCCATTATAAATTCAGCAAGGACTTTGTAATGAGTCTCTATGATTTTTCCAGAAATTACTAGTACTTAGAATTAAGGGAAGACTGTATTATAAAAGGGCACAATGCAAGTTCAAATGCACAATTCTTCATCTGTTTTAGTGAGAAGCACGCATTTGTTTTACTGCACTACTAAATGCATTTCATTACATTAAGAAGACTACAAATTTAAAAACATAGGTTGGTTATCACAAAGTGAAATGATTCCATGATATGTTAATGGCTAAAATTTTCCCGTGGCATGACATTTCTGACCTTTGGCTTTATTTTTTATCTCGTTACTATTACACAACGCTGCCGCTAGATGTCAGATTATGAAAGGGCCCCACTAGTCCCCACCAATGCGTGAATCTGGTTAACAGATGAATTAGAAGTATTGCACAGGGTAAGGCTGGAAAAAAGGTAACTTTATTGATCTTTAGCTTTTGGCAGTATTAGATTACTGGTCTTCTAGGAAGAATTGCACTGTTGTGACACACAAGAATACAGGAAAGCTCCTGAAGCCACCTTTTTCCTCTGGGTTTTTACTGTTTTTAAAGCATCTTTCAGAATGGACCCTGATTCATTACAGAACTCTTCACCATTACCACAATGCTAACACTAAAAGATAGAAAACTGAGATACAGAGCTTACACAATGCAAATTAAAGTCATATAAAGAAAAAATAAATGATCCGGTCTAGTTCCTTCAGTCAGTATAGACTTACCTATATTTACAACTCAGCTGGCTCAATGGCCTTTCCCTTCACCTCCATGCTCACGGCTAGATTATACTAACTATGAGGCTTGGTGATGAAACGTAATGCTATGTTTACATCCAAGGAAGTTGGCAAACTGGACACTGTAAGGAAAAGGAGACTTGGTACATCCTCTATGTCATGTCATGGAGTTGATGAATGCTCTCCATAGCAGGTTAAGGGACCTTTTGCAAAGATCAGAGCTAGGAAGACAGCCCTGGGCCACATCCTGGTACCCAACAGAAGGACCAGCCTTGGACCTTGAATCCTACTCCTCTGTCATCATGGTCACAACTTCCCAGGACAGGAGCTAGAAAAGGGAGGGATGGGGAAAAGGCAATGTTCTGGGTAGAAGTACAAGACAAAAAAGCTTCCCACTTTCATCAGCACACAGGACAAGCTCTGTATTCTGTGATTACACCAGTTTAATCTAATTGCTCTATCCATGTTTATAGAAAAAAAAATGTGCTTCAGAGAACTTCATTCTCTTCTAGTACCTTGTGTGAAGTGCAAATGATGCACTTGACACAAATGCATTTTTATCACAGTGAATGATACTAAAACCAAAGCTGATGTCAGACTTATCCCCCTTCCTAACTATAGAGGGAAAGCCATGGGACAGAATGCATAAAACATTGAAATAATGAGTTAATTACTTGGGATGAGAAAGGGACTTTACATTGCATCAGAACTATGCGGGAACACTATTGCATGGCACTGCACAGCCTTATCCCTTCAGCTGAATGCACTAAGTGGGCATGAATCATTGTGTTTGCACTACTGGAGATATGACCTGTTTTCTAAATCTGATCCTCAATTTCCTTCCCAAAAGTGTCTAAATAATTCCTTTTCACCAGAGTCTTTCAGTTGCTGTTCATGGTCACAGCTGTGAAAAGGCACGTTCATGAATTATCTGCTTCCAAGATTGATGCTAAGTTATCTTTCCTTCCAAGAAAGAAGCACCTCAGTACTCATTAAGGATAGAGTTTCTGAAACCCTGTGTGATGGGGGTTTCTTTCTCTTTCTTCTGCTATTATTTGCTACATCATCATGACTCTTATCCCTCTGATGGCCCATGTGGGACCCTGGCACCTGCTTTTGCCCCAGTGAAGAACTGGGAAGGGACAATCATTTCGACAGCGCAGAGGAGTGGACCATGGGAACAAATGGTACATGGAAATAGCTTATAAATTTTGTAGATTCGAGGACTTCCTATGAAACAATCCTTGAAATTTACATCCAGAAATCAGTCTATTTGTGAGTTACCTGGGGAGAAACAGCATAACGATGTGGGATGTCAGAACAGTTTAAAGTATGGAAGTGTGAAATGTGAAATCCTACAGTAGAGGATAAATTCGAGGTCCATTTGGAAAGTGAATACTACATGAACAGACTGATAAGCCTTAATCTCAAGCAAACTCATTGAGACAAGTATAAAGAAAAGGATCTAATCTTACTCTTTCAAAACTGGACTAACTCAATAAATCCTGAAAGAGTTATTTCTGACCTATCACTGTGTAGCAGGAGGTGGGAGAACAAAATTTGATCCATCATTATCTGTGACAGTAATTTAATAAAATAGCACAATCCACAGTTTTTGCTGCTGGCCACTGAGGATCAATATATATACATAGAAACTCGTTATGTTGCTTATTGTTGTGCTTTGTAAGGAGCCACTGGATAACAGTTTCCCTGATGTGTGACAGGAGGCTGTATGACCCTAATATGAATGATTGTTGGTTTAATGCTAAGCCCATCCTGAAGAGCTTTGCAAGATCAGCACTGGAACATTTATGAGCTTGCAGTGTTGAGGAGAAAAACCCTGAAATGACTGTGGGACATACTGGTTCCTTGTCTTCAGTAGAGTAAATTAAGCAGCATCAGAGAAGTAATAATCTGTACTCTTAAATTATTAACTTGGTCCCAGGCACAGCTTTGTCCTTGACAAACTAGCATTTAGACATGATTCAGGAGTCAGTACAGTTCAGAGACTTTCCTCAAGAAGCAATCTGCATGTACCTGCCCTGTTTAGAAAGATAATTTTAGATAAGAGGAGAGTGATTCCAGGCCTATTTATTTTATTAGTACAGCTATAGTCAGTGTTTGCTCTTTGCACCTTGATGGCTTGCCACATTCATGCGGGTAAGCATGACATGCCTGACCCTGCTTTCTTGATTATACCATCAGGTTTTGTTCCCATCTGATAGGTTGTCTGTCATCCACCTGGGTCTTACCCAATCCTTTCCCCTTGAGGGTGCTCTGATAGCACATCCAGGTTTTAGTAACCTTCCTTTTGGGAGCTGATAAGGAAAACAAACCTGACTATTAGTTAGAAGTCAGACATCCAACCTTAAAACCCTGTAAAAAATTGCAAAAGCCTTTTTTTCGGGGTATTCCACTGCTTCATAATGGGTTTTTTGAGAGCGCATCCTCTCAATCATCTCAGTCCTGTTTGGGTGGGTTTGCTCGATAGTGCCACTGAAATCTACTGCCATGGGAGGTCCTGTGGAATGCCTGCGGTTTGTCCAACCATGGTCTATAAAATCCTTCTTTACAAGGTAGACTTAAGACTAATGTCTTCTATTACAGTGTCACTCGGTCTCTAGTCAAAACAACCAACTTTAAACATGTCCAAGGCATCTGACAAGCCACTGTCTGCAGACCTCTCTGCAGAGCCTCAGGCTCTTCAAAGCTCTGGACTACCTTCTTTCTAATCTGCCCCAGAGCTCAGTTTTCATTTGCCTAATTTCAGCATCCATATAGATTTTCTCACCTGAATAATTTAGGAGCCCAATCCCACATTATTTCTCCAGTCCTTCAGTTTACCAGATAGGTCCAACTCCAGCCATGTATCACTGACACAAGTGAACGCATTCCCAAGGACACAAACATCACCACTTGCACAGATTGCCACTATCTCCTCTGAGTTTCTGTGAATGTTCACCAAATTTGGTCTTCTGAGATATGGAAAAACTTTAACTTTTCCAAAAATCCATGTAAACTTAGAATCCTGACCTCTAACCATCAGGTGGTAAGAAATACAATCATCTGCCCATGATAGAAATACCTGTGGGGTTTTTTTAATTATTTAGGATTTAATTTATTCACTGTTGCTGCCCATGAATTTGGACATGCTCTGGGTCTTGGCCATCCCACTGATCCATCTGCTTTGATGTATCCTACTGATAAATACCAGTCTCCATTTGGATTTTGTTTGCCAAAGAATGATGTGAAAGGGATCCACGCATTGTATGGTACATTCTGTATACCTCTTAAAGAACAATCTACTTAACACAAAATGAAAAGAATTGCAGGCATTTTCTGCCTCTTTTGATGCTGTTACAATGCTGGGAAAAGTAATTCCCTTCTTCAGAGACGGGTAAGGTTTACACTCCCTCTGTCATCCAATGTGCTAATCCTGACTAAAGAAATGTTTCTAGATGTTTAGCACAGTTTCCTTGTTTTGTACAGTTTCTCAATGTTTTGTATAGTTTCATTTTGGAATAGCTGAAACCTCTGTGTCTTTGCTGTCAATAAGCTTTTGGAAGAGATGAAAACTGGATGTTTTCTTAAGACTTTGTCATCCAGCTGTGATAAAGGAGATGAACACTTTTTTTCTTCCAAAGAGGTTAAATCATGACTGCACTGAAGTCACTCATAAATTCCTTTATATCTGGGGGAAGACTCTGCCTTCAAAGGATTACAATATCTTGACTAAAAAAACACTCTGAGAGATAATGGTATCTGGTCTGTGGGACAGGTAATCATTCCCTGTTACAAGGAGTCAGACTTGTTAGCTCCTGAGCAGACGCTTCAGCAGCTGGTGAGGTTGAAGATGGATGCATGCCTTTTCTGTGAGAGCATCAACCAAATTATCACTTAGAAGAGGGCGGCCAATGATTCCTTGGATCCATTTCAGCCCAAGCTTACAGCAGAAATCCCAAACCCTAATTCTTCTGCTGAGCTGGGACAACTTTTGCCTCTTTGCTGGCCTGCCACTTCAGCTACTGTGAAACCAGGGACAAGGGGACCAAGAAGCTCTTCTGCAAAAAATTTAAAGTTCTTTCATGTAATCAGCATTCTGCTTAAAGCTGTGACAATCACTGTTTCCCTTCGGCTTTGCAGACTTAAAGCAGTCAGCAATTTGTACGATTTTGGAGCAACAGTCCATTGAAACCATATATACTGCAGCCACACTTCACCACAGCCTACCATGAGCTGGTAGGGAGTCATGCAGGATATCACTGGACTTGTGCCTTAATAGCACTTTGCCAAAAATAATGATTGTCAGCAAAATGCTCTGAAAATAAAGAAAACTTCCTAAAATAAAACATAATTTATGTGATTTTCGTTTTTCATCAGGAACTGAAAAACGCCCCAGATTTCATAAATTGGTTGTCATATCCTTTGTGACTTGTGAGTCAGCTCCTAGATCTGTGGCAGGAAGAATTTTTTTTAAAAAAAGGTTTTTATTACCACTCAGTATCTCATTCTGAGGCTTGTAGAGGAGATACCACCTGCAAAAATGCCTGACAGACCAGAGGTAACATGATTGTAACTATACTAATGCATTCATCAGTGCTGGGGACTGATCTCCAGCTGTCGATATGACCAATATGACCAGATCAGAGACAAATCATAAGGCTGATATGATGAGGCTACTAGACTGAAGCATATAAGATGAGATTTCAGATGGAGCCTAAAGCCTAAGGCTACATCTGCAGCAGGGAACAAAATAAAATTGGGACCATTCTCTGTCATGGAGGCCAACAGGCATGAAACAGCTCATGCTCATGCTATTAAGCTCTCTTAATCTCCAAGGTAGGTTGGCTACATCCAAACTGGTTATTGGGAATCATCCTTGACCCATGACAAGTCCTGAATAGTGCCTGGGAACATTTCAGAGGCCTGGTCTGAAATGAAACCACCCAGGAGTCACTCCAGCAATTTAGCAGTACAGAGGATTGAGATCTAGTGCCTGGGGATGTTTTTCGGTACCACAAAATTTACTAACACCAGCCACAGCCTGAGCATCCATCTGTCTTAATCTCAGACTCCAGCTTACAGATGCCAGTGCAGCAGCTTCAAGTGAGGCACCCAAGGCAAAATGCTTTCTGCTCTTCTCACCTGGTCTCCTTCTTTTAATTTTGTGCCCATTTAGGTAGTTCTCATTTAATTTTATGCCTGGCAGTCTGACAAGAGAATTTAGATGGCTTTGACAAGAATTTGAATCAGAGTTGCAGCTGCTGCAACCATTTCACAAGAGGCAACATAAGAGTGGCTTATAGGCAGCCACAACATCACAATAAAAAAGGGAAGAAAGTATAAAGCAGGATATCCTTTGGAGACTGCTACTGCTCATTCAAAACAGATGTGAAGCACATTGGTCTAGTGGTAGGATGAACAGACACAAAATCACCTTGGAGAGCTGGCCCAGTAAAATTGCACAGAATCTTTTTAGACACACACATACACACACACACAAGAGCACATGCATATATATACATGTGCATATATTTATATAACTTTGAGGAGGATCCAGACACCATACTGCAGGGGTGCTGTGTGTGTGTGGTAGCTGCACATGGGCAAGCTGTATTTGGCAAATCTGTAGCCTTTTGACTCTCTTCTGCTCCTCCTCCCACCCCATACAACCTTCGTCAAGGTAGCTATGGGTTTACTATGACCAAGGCAGAAGTCCTTGTTGCAGTACATTCAGTGCAGATTTTCAATGGCCTCTTCTCAATAGATTCTCTATAGAGTAAATCTGTTTTCTGCCTGCCAGATGAAAGCCCTGAAAAATCAGTCTTTTACATATGTTCCACTTGCATCACATGTTCAGATTTAAGCATGGAGGATGCTGCTTTCTCGACCAGAACTTTGTGCTGCCCCAGGCTACCTGTCATGAAGAGCCTTGGGCTAGACCATCCTAGCAGTAGATGGTGAAGAATAGGCAGGACATCAGCAGGTGACATCTCTTTCACTTAACCATAAATATCTGTTACATAGCTGATTATATGAAAGTTAATCCTTAGTGCCAGTGCAGAGAAACAAGCACTTTTGGGGAATGAGCTGTTTCATTCTAAAGCAGACAGCTAAACTCAGGAGAGATTAATCCGTACTTGACATCAAAACCTACTTCTAACAGTATGACAAAGACTCATGTGTGATCTACACTAGTTGCTAGCCCAGTGACATAACTCTGACAGGTTTTTTTAATCTCTTCATATGAAGGGAACACAAAGTTGGAGCTGGCAAGGAAGTCACTGCCATGCGCCATTCATCAAAGCAGAGCCATCTACAGCACTGTGAAGCTCACTGACCATTCCTTCCTTTCCTCAGCTCATGTTAAATGTTGTTGCTGCTTATGAAGTTCCTGAGAAAGGTTCAGTTTATTTTTTCAAAGGTCAATTATTTTGGCAGTGGAAAGGAAGGAAAAGGAAAAAAAAAAAGTAAATTTGTTGAGCAAAGAAAAAGCTCTCAAGCCTACTGGTTTCTTGGAAGATGAACACACCTGCCCATAACTTAGATCATTAGTTTGGGTCACTAGAGTACAGATCCAACACTGAGAGTGGGAACCTCTAAAGCTAACTGTCAATTCAATGTCTTTTTGTGTGGATCAGTCAGCTGGAGATGGAGAAAGCTACAACAGTCAAGGTTATCTTCAGCAATCACAACAGGAAATTAACCCAAATTCTGCCTTCTCCTAAGTTACTTTTTAGCCATATTGCCCACACTTTGACAATTTATAGCAATATACTAGTTTCCTAAAGAGTCACAGGAAGAATTATATATGAGCTAGGACTTCATATCTTGCACAGAAATTCTATCTCTGTATAGAAAAGTTATTCCTGCAGAGAAGAACACTTACTGAAGGTAAGTGTACACTACTGAACACTAAGTGAAGGTTAGTGTACCAAAAGGTTTAATAAGGAAGGAGCCGTTTACAAGCATATTTACATCTAGAAGGATCTCCTCCATCGTTCCATTTTACCTTTCACAACACAGAGACCAAAAACTTCTCCAGCATTTATCTTCCACCCAAGAGGCCTTACATTTGAATACTTTTTTAAAGAAATGGGTCTAATCTTTATCTAAAGACATCAAGTGATGAATAATTTCCCAACTCATTAAATGAGATGATTTTGCATTTAAACTATTTTCTATTAATTTGCATAGAAAAGTGAAACACCTTTCTAGGGGATGATCCCATGGAAATACATCACCAGTTGTACCATGTAGCAGTTTTATTTTCTTTTGTGCTGAATTGTACCAGTGGCATCTTTTTTCCTTCAAGTTCAGATTCAAGAACTGTATCTGCAACTGCACTGCTGGGAAACCAGCAATTTTTGTATAATACTTTTCCTTTTTCAGGCCCTCATTACAGGGTAACTCAAAGATTTCAAATGCAGAGCCCCCCCTTACACCATCTCTGACTTAAGGTTTTCCAAAAAGTGCAGCACATTGATGCAGTGGACTACCTAAAGGCTGAAAAGGAGATGCTCTTCTTTGTGGGAGATGAATATTACACACACATTCATTACCATCTGACCCTTTTGGACTCTACTTCTATTGGAAAACAAAGATTTTATTTTTCACAAAGGAAATGCAGACAAACTAAAAGCGTTGGAAGGGTGGGATATGTCTGACAAAATGTAGAGGTCTACAATGTGTATAGGCGTATACGAGTATTTTAAGCAAGACTCCCATTATACTCAGTCTGGACCTATGATTTACTCCAATCTCTGAATAGTAATTTAGAGGGGCCTGAACAGAGCTAAAGCCAAACAGAGATTTCTCTGCCATCTCTCCATCCTCCCCAAGGCTGACAATTTCATAAGCAGAGTGAGATACACTCTCATGCCATGGTTAAACACAAAGCACAGGCATGGTTCATTAAATCTTGCCTCCTACAGTTTCAGAGGTATCAATGTTTACATGATCCGCAAAATATTTATCCCATATTCTTCCAAATAGTACAAGGCACAAAATAGTCCTGAAATAAATTGTTCAGCTAAAGATCTTCTGTAAACACCAAACCACACCAGAAGAAGAAAGCAAGAGAGGTCACAGAGATATCCTAAGTTCTGGGCCCTTAATCAGCAGAGAATGCGTTAGGTATGTGTAGTAGATCCCTTTTTACCACGAGTGCCTTTTCCACCCTCACTACTGCTCATTGTCTCTCCAGGAAGATGCTGGGGAGAAGTATACACAGCCCAGAAGCCAGTCTAATCACACTTGCATTTAAAATAGAATTAATTAATCATCCTTAAAATGTTCTAGCTCTGTCTAAATAGAAATGCAATTTGAAATACTTACAATAGTTAAGGAAATAAACAATAAAAATATCTTAAAATTGGTAAAATGATAAGAGAATCAGTGAAAAAACAATGAAATATTTTCACATCTTTGTCTTCCTAGCAATTTTTATTGTTTATCTCTCTTGTCTAACGTATTCCTTTTTTCCTGACCTGTCTAAATAATTTTAATTTGCTTTCTTTTCTTTTCCTAATGAAATGGGAAAAACAAATGGTAACTGAAAATTGAAGAAAGAGGCATTTACTCAAAAAAAAACCCCAAACCAAACACAACTTTTCCCAGAAGTTTTCTGGAAAATTCTCACCCACCTTTCTTAAAATCAGCTCACACTTACTAAGCAGATGACATAAGGATGCAGAATGAATGCAATATTATTACAGCTGTTCAAACCACTGAGCAAACACATTGATTCATTCTAAAGAAACCACATTTAGAAAAGCTATAAAATCTTCATAAGAGGCATTAAATTCATTTGACTTGGTGAATATAGAGCATGTGTATTTTCTGGCATCAGCATGGGTAATAAAATAAATATGGATGAAACTAAACCAAATGTCTGTGCTCCTATAGTTAGTACTTAGCAAAGTTGCTATGGAGAGCATCCGACTTTCCTTGAAGACTAACATTAAAAAGTTTTTTTTTTTTGCATCAAAGCTTTTAATCTGATTTTCCATTTTATTGACTTGACAGTGGGATACTAACCTTAGAGAAAATAAACGATGAGCTGGTTTTCATGAGCCTTTTCTACCAGTCCTAGAAAATTTCCATTATCCTAAATGTAATGATGTTTCTTACTTGCAGTTTCTATAGCTTTCTTTTTAGATCAAGCAGTTTCCTATGGCTCCCTATAGATTTTCTACTTAGCACATTTAACCAAAGTCTTCAAACATTTCCTTTTCTGGCCTATGTAGTCCATTTTTTTTTAAGATATGAGAATGTCTAACTGCATCCATGCAGACTGTATTATGTAAACTGCACAATCCAAGTGAAATTGTCTGAAACGAATTGCATAGGTGAGGACTAAAGGGTAGTTAGCCATAGCAGGGCTACTGGGAGTGAGCAAGTGCAAGGGTTGCATGCTTTCCTGAGGGAGACACAACAGAAAGAGGCAGGAAGGTGTTGTTTATTATCTTATTGCTCCTCATACACCACCAATAGGCTGAAAAGATCTGCCTCTGCCAACTTTTTGATATCGCATATTCGAAGTTCTCTATCAAAGGCACTATTTAGATCTCATCTATTGATTGCAGCGACGAAGTCTTGTCATTCCAAATGCATTTTCAAAAGTATGAAAAAACCAGCATTAACGCTGGTCCATTTATAATAATTGTTTCTTCTTCCAAAGCTACAATGAAAACAAAAGAAAGATCCAAAAAGTATTCATAAATAGTTTAGAGGAATCACTAGCAAAGCAGATGCAGCACTGGAATTGAATGGTGCGTATTTAACTACACAGCAAACAGTCCTGATCCTGCCAGTCTGTCCTCTGTGGAAGTAAGGAAGTTAATATAAACACAATGTCTGTTTCCAAAGATAGCATTTTTATTGATTTATTTCTGTGATGAAGCTGAATGAGATTTCCTGTCCAGCTGCTCTAACAAAGACTCTGGAACGTATCAGCTCCACATCCAAGCCATGAAATCATAAGATGATTTGAAATCCCAAGGTATAATTCTGCATTTAGTTTAGTATTTTTCTCCTTGTTAGTTTTAAACTCTATCTCTTCAGTTTTCTGCTGAAAAAGCCACAGCACACAAAACCTATGATTTTTCAGTTAGGAAAAAGTTGTATACATATTTATTGCACAAGTAAAAATTACCTTTTTGAGTCTTGAAAAATGACTTGAAAATCTCATACAGCTATAGCTCCAACAGGAAAGCTTTGAATCACAAATACTAGACTTTAGAGGAATACCATACTGTTGTGACAAGCAAGACTAGGAAATTCCTGAAGTTTGTTGAAGATGATTTCTTGTTACAAGTACTCAATGAGCCAACTAGGAAAGATACCCTCCTAGACTTCTTATTTGTGAATAGAGAAGGACTGATGGGAGATGTGATGGCTCTTTTGGCCATAGTGATCAAGAAATGGTTGAGTTTAAAATTTTCAGTGTAATGAGAAAAAAGGTCAGCAGCGTTGCTATCCTGGATTTCAAGAGAGCAAACTTGAAGCTGCTTAGGCAGCTACTTAGCAGTGTCCCCTGGGAATCTGCCTTTGGGGGCTTAGGAGTCCATGAGTGCTGGTCAGTTTTTTAAGAGTAACCTGTTACAGGCACAGGAACAGGCAACTCCATTGTGTCGTCAGTCAAGCAAGCGGGGCAGACCAGCGTGGCTGAAGAGGGAGCTCCTTGTGGAACTCAAGAGGAAAAAGAAATTGTATGATCTCTGGAAGCAAAGTCAGGCTTCACAGGAATATTACAAAGCCATGGTTTGCATATGCAGGGAGAAGACATGAAAAGCCAAAGCTCAACTAAAGTTGAAACTGGCTAGTGTTGTGTCAGACAACAAGAAAGGTTATTTTAAGTATGTGAATAGCAAGAGGAGGTCTGTTTTTCCTGTTGCTCTCTGCTTCAGCCAGGATCTGCTCTGAGGGACAACCTCATTGCTCCTTTACAGCTTCCTGAGAAGGGGAAGTGGAGAGGGAGGTGCTGAGTTCTTGTCCCTGGGATCCAGTGATGGGATGTGTGGGAATGGCTCAAAGCTGCACCAGGGGAGGGTTAGACTGGACATTAGGAAGTATTTATTTACTGGGGGTGGTCAAACACTGGAACAACTTCCTAGAGAGGTGGCCAGTGCCCCTTGCCTGTCAGTGTTTAAGAGGCATTTGGACAAAGCCCTTAACAACATGCTTTAACTTTTGGTTAGCCCTGAAGTGGTCAGGCAGTTGGACTAGATGATTGTTTTAGGTACCTTCCAACTGAACTATTCTGTTCTATTCTATTCTGTTCTGTTCTGTTCTGTTCTGTTCTATGCTGTTCTGTGCTGTTCTGTGCTGTTCTGTTCTATGCTTATTTTGGCCTAAGACCTACCATAACAGAGAAGCAAGTGGTCCACATTGAACCCATGAATGTTAAAATAACAAGTGGAGATGTTAGTTTATACTGACATCAGTATTTTAGAATTGATTTGACAATGAATTTGAGTTGGTTGACAATTAATGTATCAATGTACTACAGTTAGTGCAGGGCGGATAGCCAAGCCTGCGCTGCCTTTGGACACTATGTGTCAACAGCTCAGGTATTGCTAAAAACGGAGTCAGGGTAACACAGATTTCAATGTTGGCTAATGGTGTAAGCTGAGTCTCTGAGGCATGCTAGTGGGGTGATAGCCATCATTGCAACGAAGAAAGGAGGTTGTAGCAAGGTGGGTGTCAGTCTCTTCTCCCAAGTAACAAGTGATAGGATGAGAGGAAATGGCCTCAAGTTGCACCAGGGGAGGTTTAGATTAGATACTAGGAAAAATTTCTTCACTGAAAGGGTAGTCAGGCAGTGGAACAGGCTGCCCAGGGAAGTGGTCGAGTCACCATCCCTAGAGGTATTTAAAAGATGGGTAGGTGTGCCACTTAGGGACATAGTTTAGAGGTGAACTTGGCAGTGTTAAGTTAATGGTTGGACTTCATGATCTTAAAGGTCCTTTCCAACCTAAATGATTCTATGATTCTAAATAGGTAAGGAAGTCCCTATAAAATAACCCACCTTTTTTTCAGAAAAAAATAATTTAGTTATTTTTAACTATATTTAGTTAAAAGCAGAAAGATCTTTTTTTCAAAATATAAATAACTTGTCTAGAGCATGACAAAACTGAAAAGAGAATTGGTAACAGCCAGGCAAACATTTTTTCCTGTGGCAGGTGGGAATAGCTACTGGCATGCATTCAACACAAAACATGTTCTGCAGATGCTCAGATGTATCAGTCCACAGCAGATGGTGTTCACTGGGGTTCACATCTCATTCTCTCCAACAGCAGGAACTGCTTATTGGAGCTCTGTCTAGAGATGATTGTGAAACCCTTCACAGTGACTCAACAACAAATACATACATGTGGGTTTGCCAACCGACATTTTAGCCTACAGAGAGCAGTAGGGGCATTTCATGAGTATGGACAGGATGTGGCAAGCATGAGGTTCGATCCCAGAAATTCTTCCACCAAGATTTTTCTTCATGACAGCAAGTTAAAGATGCATGAGAGTGAATTCATCTGTTCTGTCTGAAACACATCATTGACATTCAGGCTACGTTTAGATAAAGGACCCCAGGAACAGCCTAGATTTGCAGCAGCATGAAGCTCAGCATGTACTATAGGGAACAGGGTAAATCCTTAGCTACATCAAGCTTCAAGCTACTCACACTTTGAATGGCACCCAAGCAATTCAGTTTCAAGCTGCCTTGACTGTCTTTGAACTATACTGCTTTCCAAGTAGGCTACAGAGCTGTCTTAAATCAGGTTAGAAACTGGTTTGATCATGAAGGTTAAGTTCATCCTGTCTAACTTTAGATACTCAATTGCTGTACGAGGGGCCCAAGGGTATCCAAAACACCCATATGGGGCTGGTAGATATGAGACAGGACGTATGGTAAGGTCATGTCCTCTGGACAGGCACCTGAAGGCCAGGTAATTTATTCTAGGGTCTCTCAAATAGCACTTGATGCTTATGTTTAGGCAGCTGCATCAAGCACTAGCTGTTCAGAAGTCGAACATCTGGGGCAAGATCCAATTGCCTACATCTACATGCCTAGTGCTGACTACTCAATGCCAAAGATTCAGGTACCCAAAACATCTACACAGAACAGGGATACATGACACAAAACAAACGGGGGCCCATGTCTTTCTGGAGAAGCACCTGGAAGCCATCTGGGACACTGCACATCAGATTTCCTTATGTACTTATGTGTGGGCAATTAAACCTCACCCCCAAGTTGGCTTCACTTCAAGGTTCAGGTACTAACCTTTGGTAAGTAAATGTAATATAGCTGTCTACATGTAAATTAGTCAATGGAGATCTAATTAATACACTGGAAGACCCTAGAGAACTGATCAAATGTGTCTATTATTGTTATGTCATGGGTCTCAGTTCCACCTGAGCTCCCAAACCAGGACTCTCCCACTCATGAAACCTTTCACTTGGCAGACAAAGCTTACCTCTAGAATTCAACGTCTAATTCCCCTGCACCTTTGAGGCTGCTACCCGAAATTTAAGAATCCTATATTAGACCCTGCTGTAACAAAACAAACGTGTGGGTGTGAACTTGTGCTTGAACTTGACTCCCCAAACTCAGCATCCTTAGACCTAAAACTTATCACTAGTAATTCAGCATTATACACTAATTCTGTAATTTTAAAACTCTATGAAGCCTGTTACAGCTCTATAATGTAAAAAGCTGCTAGAAAACAAGCGTGGAAATAAGGGCCTGTATTAAGTCAGTCAGATTTTATGATCACTATGTAACATGCATATGTAGCTACAAACTATTGCAACAGAGCCCTTAGAATGAGCTAGTTTCTCTAATGAACACTTGCTTTTTCCTTTTTTCCTTTTTTCCTTTTTTCCTTTTTTCGTTTTTTCCTTTTTTCCTTTTTTCCTTTTTTCCTTTTTCTCATTTTTAAGGACTTATTTACTTCTTTTCTCATCCAGAAGCCTATAAATAAAACAGAGAGAAGGAAAATGTGATTAATATTGTGAAAACCAATTCCTATAACAGTCCTCAGCAGATCATCAGATAGAAGTAGAAGAAAGTGAAAACTGGACCATGAGGACCAGAAACAAGGCTACTCCTTTTCTAAGGTTGTCCTTTTATGTAAACACAGAGCATGAGGAATGCTGCAACTCTACCCAGCAATATAAAACTGTTCCAATAAATACATCAGTGTTGGCATTTTGAAGAGCTTCAGTCTCACCTCAGAAGCTCCTGGACCCAGAATATTGTTACCTTTCTCCTACCTAGAATCAATTCTAATGAAATTCAATGAGAAATCCTTTGTGACCACTTCCTAAAGACCTGCATTTCCAGGGAACAGGGTGACATAATGGGAAACCATTGCAGAAGCTGTGACTAACCTGAGTCTTTCACAATGGAAC